TGCACAGGATACGTAAAATATACAGGCTTCACAACTAATAATACGCTGATTTATATCATCGATCCTGTTAAAAACGAGCTCAATGGTCCCTTCTGCCTATGACAGAAGATATTGGTTTCTACTACCACTTTTGGAAGCATTTGTTGTCCAAACACATATTCCTCCTCAAAATCGACATTTGGATGAGGTCCAGTCCTCAGGATCCTTTCTGACCCTCAAAGAAACTTGAGAGTCACTTTCGACATCTGCCTCGGCCACTATCATCGTGAGTATCCTTGCTTTGATTCAGATTCATTTTCTAGTCGTTATTTTTATTTAGGTTGTAATTCAAATCATCATTCTGTTATCTATCTCGGTGGGAAATCAGCTTCTGACACAACTTACACTCTCAATCGATAGAATCAATTACATTATCAACTTCAACCTTGGTATCAAGATCTGTCAGACTGATTCTGTTCCGTAGTCACTCTATCAAGGGAAGCATCTCGCTTAGTTATTACTCATTGTTCTGTACTATCCCAAAGCTTTTCATGGAGCAGTACTCATTTTTATAACAGTTGCGTTCTATTTTTGTCCTCAGTTGGTATCTTAGCTTTAGAGTGTACTCCCAGTTTGATCATGTTCTTAATTAGAGTGGTAGCTCCGAACTGAACTACAATACTCATTGCAGACATGCTTTGGGACCACTGGTTTCGGTAGGCTTTGGTAACTGCATTCGATAGTTCATCAAATTTCTGGAAAAATAGTTTCAGACGATTACGATTTTTTTTGGCACGAATTCTATTTGATCTTTTTTGGATTATTTACTCTTTATTTTTTAGTTAAATCTAGCTTTGCGCCTGATAAAGAGACAATATTTTATTTTCAAGGTTAAGCCCAATAAAGATTTTTATGGTCTTCTATAATTTCATGAAGAGGAAACGAAAATTCAAATGAAAAAAAGCAGTTGTGGTATTTTTCTTTTCACAAATAACCGAAAAAGTATGCTAAGAAAACAAGTGCAAAAGCTTGTCAACGCAGCTCCTTTGGAGCTGAAATGTGGAACTTACGTATGTGCTTCCGAGTTGTTATCATAATGCATTATTTCTAAACTAAAAAATAGTCTTCGTTTCGAATAATTATGAGTGCACTAGAAAATTGTAGAAGATCTGAATTCTGCGCAATTGCTGAGGTCTGTAATAATGGCCTGTTTGTAATGGGAGTGGGGAGAGGGTGGGAGAAGAGGGGTTACACCAGTAATCTTCTGTTCCTGTTGCTATGTGTTTGTCATGGGGTGGAGGAGGAGGGGAACTGGAACATCTTGGTCTTAAAATTTATACTGACTATTTTCTTTGAAAATGTACGTAAGTTCCGCAATCAAACAAATTCTCCAGGGAATGTATCGATTAATGTGTTCTATGAATGATATTTTTGAAAATAGGTGTATGAAACAAAGCTTCAACATCAATATGAAAACTTTTAAAACGGAGTAAGATACAACAAGAGCGTTCTGTTTCCTGCAGTGTAAAGAATGATACTACTGCATTTTAGACGAAAATGCGTAATATTTTGTTTGTTTGTGATAAAAGAATAATTAACAAAACCTCAGTTTTGCTTCGTTTGCAAGCAACGTCAGGTTCAACTTGGAATGCATGAACCAATAGTCACACACACGATAACTTAGTAATTGAGTTTTAAAAGACAAAATCAGTACTTCCTAACTTAAAGATAGACGATAAATAAACTCCAGACCTTGTCTGTCATGGTCTGTGGGGAGGAAAGGGAGGTGAGTCCATATGTCTACCTCTAAAGAGTTCAACTTTCTTTTCAGATCGTATTTAACAAAACTGATTCTTCCATGAGCAGGCTCCAAGCTTTTAAGAGAGACTCCGTGAGATGATCGAATATCGTGGTAGATATTGAAGTACTCGATAAAATTTGAATTTTTAGTTTTATGTTCTTATTTTGTTCAGCATCGTCTAAAACCTCTAAATCCAAACTTTTAGAGCATTTCGTTGAGCCATTGGAAAGTTAGCTCGAATGCACCTATCACGGGGTAAGAGTCTTAGTTGAGGAAAACTAAAAAATCCTGCATAGAAAGTTAAGATTCTTTTAGATGACAATAATTTTATGAAATTTTTCGTGTAATATACCAAAAGATACGGCTTCGACGCTGAATAAAATCATCTTTTAATATGTTAGATTTCCATGGACTAATCGAGAGTTATCTATGAAATTCTATCTATAACTCGTTATTTTCTGGTGGAAAAATGAGACTATCTTTTAGCAATATATTACAGTGTATCAGCTTCCGTTTAGTCATTTTAAGAGATCCTGCGCTGAATATTTTATAAGCTATACGACTTTTTTCTCTCGACAAAATTGTTATAAAAAAAAAATAAAAAAGATTTCGAATGATGTCCAAAAATGGCTTACAACGTTGATCAATTGGACAGTGTCTATGAGAAAAAATTATTTTGAATATTTTTTTCTGAAAAACGAACAAAAGCTTAAGAAGACTATGATGCATCTAAAGTATTTTTCACACAAGTACGATATATTTCAATAAGCAAATCGTCTATATAAACTGTTGAATTATCATTTATCGTAATTTACGAAGGTAAAATGGGTTAGCATCATGTTATGCAAAAGAGCTGAAAACACTTTATAAGTCGATTAACGTTCAATTTTACTTCAGTGGAAGTTAAAGTATTGTTTAAATAGTTGTACACTTACTTTATACAAGACGCAGGATTGATGGTCACGTTTAAGGGGAATCTTATCCGTGCTTCTCCTCTTCGGCACGTAGAGCTCATGATGCCTGAAGAGGAGGGACATTATTCGGAAAACACATGTCCCTTTATTGTCTATGAAGGGTACTTGGAAAAGCCGCACTCATGCAAACAATATAATTCTTTATCAATGGTCATTATTCAGAAAATCCGTGCCCATTGGTATGTTCACGCGAGCATAACTCGGTAAAACCGTACCCATCCGTTTATTTAGAATGACTTAGCCCTAATCCGGTAAACCTGGTTCTGTTTTATATTTTATTTGGTTTTCTTTAATGTCAGAGGAGTGGTTGTAGCTGGGAATACATTTAAAGAGATGATTCAAGTGCCATTTTAGCATTCATACTAAAGCTTGCTAGCATTTTGATCTCTTACAGAGCAATTTCAATATCTTGAAAATCTTAGTTTAATGTTTCAAGTTCAAAGTCAATTTCCTCGTTCTCAATATCATTACCAGTATTTTTGACGGGTTTATTTTCGATGAGGACTTTACTATCTGACAAATTTTGAGTGATAATCATCTGTTGTTCGCGTTTTAGTTGACAGAAAAATGAGCAAACCTCATTTTCATTTTAAACTTGGATAGCCGAAAAGTAAAGCTTGCCGTTTTCTTTCAAGGTCTCCCTATCTAATACAAACTGTTTTGGTTTCCAACGTTTCATACCGGAAACGCCTTCATCTAATTTTTTTTTGAAGTACCTACACTGTTCATCTAAAATATGTATGCTCGATTTACGTATGGACAAAACCCAGCCTTGAGGAAGAGAATTCATTTCGGGTGTGAATGTGTGGCGATGGGTGCGTGTGGCTGTGAGACGAGGACATCTACATGAACACCCAAGCCTACACCCGTACCCCATGCCCACACCCACATCCACACCTATCGGTGTCCCTTTTTGTTCTAAATTGACAAAAGCTTCTTGCTGCTTAAATTGTCTCAAAACAAATCATTTTAAAGTATTTAAAATACTTTTAATGGAACTTGGCGAGGCATCCACAGCTGACGGCTATTATGATCGAATCAAGGCTATTTGTGGACAAATCAGGGTCGTAAGTTTTTGCAAAAGAGGTTTCGATTTATATGGTCTCAGCAATTTAGATGGACTGGCTTTTAACACCGATACGATTTGCACGCGTTACTCATTTCAACCTAGTTATTCATAAGGTAGACCAAGAAGCCAAATCATATCTTCAGCGGACATCTTTAGGCGTTCAAAATATGGTTACAATTGACGTCATTGCAGATGGCAATTGTCCCTATAACTCTATCGTATGTTTGACTGATAATACAGTTTTGATATCTTGCGAACCGAGAGGTAGGTACTTCCAACTTTACTATTCAGTTCTGTTAATACAATCTTTCTAATTCAAAATGTAATAGAACTCGTAAAAAA